CTCCTGGTAAGACCTTGTGATATACATGTTTTCTGGTAAAACTACGAATTTTCTATAAATGAAAATGTCGAAAAGACTCCAACATAATGTTTTTATGCATACGCGCGTATGCACGGACCAAATGCTTGAAGGTCGGTTAGTTAGTTTCGCCCAAAATGGCTCGGTTGTCAACGTTTTAATCAATCTGAGGATAAGTGTGCCGCATATCTTTTATGTAGTCGCAGGTTGATCTAGCTTTAATCAGAATGCTACTTACACTGATTCCTCGTGTTCTTCAATCCTTTCCAGCTGCCCATCTTCCAGTTTTTCCGAGGTCTCTTCTTCGGCTTCTTCAGGGGGACCGTCTAGCCCTAAATCTCCCATTTCACTGCTTGCGGAGAGTACACACGATAGGACAACGGTCGCATCACTTCCGGCTGATAGAATCAGCTGATCGTGAACCGGATGGAAGCGAACCTGAATACTCAAGATCCTGGTTACATTGCGATAGTGGAAGTGAAGACACACTTGCCAGGCCCAATGGGCATGAGGTACGACTGTTACAAGAGATTTATCAGGCTGGCGCCAGTCCCACAACCGCACAGCTCCATCATCTCCACAGGATGCAGCTCTAGAAGCTGGTCTTGGTCTTCAGAAATTTTCACAATCTTATCGGAAAACTTACACATGTTGCAAATTCGGATTAAAATCCAGGTGAAGAGCACGGTGAGCATGGGTGTCCTGAATGCGCAGCGCTTCCCTGAAATTACTCTAGAAACTGAGAAATACTTAACAAGTCTTGTCACCTACTCTGATGTGCGTAAATCATAGCACATGATATCTTTATCCATAGCTAATCCTAAAAGGTTGCCGCTACTGTGAGGGTTCCAAGCTTGAGCATGTGCGCTACCATTCAATGTTATTTTGGTGTTCACCTAAAATCATCTCCTTTTCGTCTACTACAATCAATGCATAAAAATTAGAAGCCTTACTTTCATGCCCGAGTGAGGATCGAAAATCTGCACAGATGACTGGAATAGGGTTGACACTTGATCACTTGGTTGGTCCCATTCGAGAC